CCCTTAGTCAGGATTGATAGTCTATATGTTGACTCACCATTCATTATTTTGGATAGTTCAGGAATTTCGGTGAGGCGGTACTTCGGGAGTCGATACTTCAGTTCAGACCGGCATTGCGAGGTGAGTTATCCTCACTATATCAACAGGGTCTAAGGAACCAAGGCCGGACCTTTATCGGATTTGTATTTGGGTATACTCTTGATATGTTTATTGATCTGCTAGATCTACATCCTGGTAGTTAGGATGGTATTATGTTACTGGCGTAGTTTAGGTCGGTATCCTGGTATATAGGATAATGTTATGTTAGTGATCGGTTAGGTCAGTATCCTGGTTATAGGATGGTTTGTGTTAGTGATCTGTTAGATCGGTATGATTATTTGTTATATACATGCTAGCGTATGATATTTATGTGCACATTTTTGTTTGATTGGTATAGGGATTGGGTTGAGGTGGGTCCTGCTTCGTGTTGTAGGTCAACATACCCAGGGCGTACCAGATAGACTGCAGGCCCATGAGTGCATATAGTCAGGACGAAGGCCCGGCGAGCGGTCCGGATAGGCTGAAAGCACCGAGAGTGTGGTCTAGATGTGCCGAGGCTCAGAGAGTAGGCCAGATAGACTGAAGGCCCGGTGCGGGCGGTCCAGTCATACTATAGAGTCAGAGAGTGGACCAGGTGGACTAAAGGCCAGGTGCGGGCGGACCAGTCATATTGTAGACTCAAGATGCATGGTTGTTCTGTGTTTGTTATATGATATGTTTATTGTTTTATTAGGTTGGTATTTGGGGTAACTCATTAAGCCTTCGAGCTTACATTTGTCAATTATTGTTACAGGTTTAGCGGATGACCGCGTGAAGGCGAAGGCGTAACCGTACACTCCCTCATATTTTGATTTGGATTTCTAGGATACTATGATATGAAACTATTTGGAAACCTTTTTGAAATGACTTTTAGTATTTGAAATGTTTTTAAAAGTTTAAAATTGACATGATTTTTATGGGTTTTACAACTAGTTACTGTGGAGTTTGGTGAGAGTCTATGGATTAGATGCTCTAACGATGGTGGACGTCATGTATAATTTGATTTAAGGGATTTTTTGTAACATCCCAAATTTTAATTTCTGATGATATATGGTCCACTAGCATGGCCTAGACTGCTCCAGTGCGCCAACGTGGCCTGGCGCGCTCCTAACATTCCCTTGCCAGCCTTGCTGGGGACTCTCCTCCCGGCCTGGCTTGGCGCTCCCTTTCTTGGCGCCCCCTTGTCGGTCTCTCCTGGTGCGCACCCATCAGCCTTGCCTGGGCGCGCCCGCCAGCCCCGCCCGGTGCCTCCGGGCAACCTTGCCCAGCTCCTTGCTAGTTGGGCCTGAATTGGGTTAGCCCAAGGCCTGACCTAATTCCACTTGACCTAATTGTCTACTATAAATAGAATAGTGCCTCCTCCATTAAGGAGGACTTCTCCCTAGGGTTCTTCCACACAACACCAACTTGGTTCACTCCAGCTATGGAGGACCATCTTAGATCTTCTAGTTGATCTAACTTGATCATCGGAGTCCGCTCCCAGGGTACAGTCCCTGGGGTGACTCTAACAACTTTGCTCTGTGATGTCCAGATCTCCGCCGCAACAGAAGACCAGAAGACTCGCCGGAGGTCGATGTCACATCAATTTCCAAACTAAAATTTTCATTTTTAAGATATAAATTTGACAAACCAAAATCACGTTCTATAAAATCCAAGTACCATAGTTTCAAATCACCATAATAATCCAGAACGTGTGGAAGTCAAAAAGTCAAAAATAGGAGATGCACATGCTTCATGGTCAAGCTAGAGTCTTCCCACTGCCAGTAGCACAACTTGAAAAAGATTTAATTTGTAACTTTACGTACAAAACTTGGTGACTTCCCCAAAATATCACAAACATCCCAGTAAAAACTATACATGAAGTATTGGGCCTCTTTAGCTCACGACCCTTTCCTGTTTAGTTATCATCTCAATCAAGTACTCTTTGACTCATGACTTATTCTGATATTGCCATTAAACCATCGAGCATTGTTTCACTCGTGGCCTACCCTGATCTTATCATCATCCTAACACGACACATACCCTACCAATCAACAAGCAAACAAGCGACAAGCTTCAAAACACAATCCATAATCAAGATTCTATTGGTCTAGCTAAGCATACTAACATGTCGTAGTATTACACATGCATTAAACACATAGATAATCCAATCATGACATAGGTAATATAGTGAAACTTACATGAACTTAATAAAAATAGTCTCATATTTTTGGAGAATAAACAACTAACCCGAACCACCTATAACCAAATAAAGGTTAAACCAGTGTTATAAAAATATCAACTAAGCGCTACGCGACCGACTAGAAGGCGCCTAACAATTAATCCTTACGTACACAGAGCGAAGCAATAGCAAACGATGAACTTTTAACACCTTTAAGAAACTCTATTTCAATAGAAACTATTTGAGGAATTATTAGTGTTGTATTAATCATATTAACTTATTTTGTTATGATATTAGTGGTATTTACGACTAATCTTCGCCTAGCCGATTAATTTCTTAACCCCAGTAACTGACTAGCTAAAGTCGAGCGTCTTTACAACCTTAGGTTAAACCTTAGACTATAGCCCAAATCCCAAAAAGTTTAACCAAATATCAAAATGGTCAAAATTTCAATGATTATCACGTCGTGACCACTAGGCGACCAAACAGTCAGGAGTTGCATCCTCATCATACTTAATTTCCAATGTAACAAAGTCATACATGATTAAAACATATTTCCACCATCTTGTAGGTTTTATATATATATATATATATATATATATATATATATATATATATATATATATATATATATATATCAGTGAATTCTATTTCAAATGTATCTTACTTGTGAGATTCTTTTTCATGCGAATCGATTCAAGTTTTAACCATAAAGCAATAGTAGTATTTTTGTTGAGCATTTCTTGGCAGATATATTGTGTAGGTGTAGTTGAATTTGAGCTAAGGCTTGCAATCCTTTTTCTCAACTTCCGTTAAAGTAGTCTAAGCTTCACCTCCAAATAAATCGAGTGTATTACCATAGTCGGCTTGAACTAATAGACCGATGATCTTCACTTACCATAGAGAAAACCTAGTGTCATTATCCAAAAGAAAGAAGAGCGTACTTCATACAACCCTGAGAGAAAATCGATTATGACCTTATAGAAGATTTATAGGAAAATCGATTTGTGGATGTAGATTTGTTGGCATAACATCAATTTAGACCTAAAGAAGTCCAACATAAATCAATTAGGGTTTAGGAGATATGAGAAGAGAGAGTAGGAAAAATGATTAGGAAGAACCACATACAGGATTTATAGGAAATTGGCAAATGAATTGTGCTAAGGTTTAGGGAGATATCAATTTAGAGTTATAGAGTAATAGGCTATGATACCACTTGTAATATCATAACAAGAAAATTGAGTAGTAGGGACGTCACTTTTAGCGACGACATACCCTTTAGCGACGACATCAGAAGAGACACGCTTAGTGTCGTCACTAAAAGTCTATGTCGTCGCTAAAGGTCTAGACCGGTGATCCGTTGGCGTCATGCTACTATCAATCTTGGCCCTTGGTTTGGAATATAATCCAACGAATAGGGTGCACTCTTAGCGATGATGTTTTCGCCACTATTGGTGTGGATCTGTGTGACCTACATCAGATGTAATCTTGGACCTACAGTTTTTACATGATCTGAGGGCCCATAATCACAAGAAAAGGCACAGAAAATTCCCTCAAACATGTCTTTCTATTGGCCTTCATGTCGCCGCTAAAGGTGTCGCCGCAAAAGCCTTATCCCCTTTTGTTCGACAACATCCCAAATAGCTACTCCAGTCACCCGTTTTCTCTCTTGAATTTTCAGATGGAGACACCATATCTCTGGTGTATTACGATGATTTTCACATGCGAACTCGTCCAACTTTCCTCCACCACCAACTCGCCGGACTAGTTCATCCATTTCCATCGACAAGCGTCGATTTCCAGCGACATTCAGCGATTTTCGACAACATACCCTCCTCCGGCATTGATTTCCGATGACGATATGTCCTCCTTTCTCTTTATCTTTCTGTTCTGACCTCGATTCCTCTGCTTATGTGTTGAATTTCTCCTAATTAAGGGCCACAACATCCCCCACTCAATAGCGATATTCGGCGACCACCACTTGATGTTTCCGGCCACAGGTGCGTTTTTTCGGCATAATTCTTGTTACTCTTTCTATTTTGAGCTCGATTCCTCCACTTAATTGTTGAATTTCGGCTGATTAAGCACCACAATAGTCACCACCGCCACAACAAAGTTCTTTTTCGGCTACCACCACTACTAGTACGCTAACAGTTGGATTTTCCGGGCACATGTGCATTTTTCATGTTAAATTTCTCCACTTACTTGTTGAATTTCTCTGTTACGCATGTATGATGTGTATATGAACTTGTTATATTAAATTTGTATATGAATTGAAAGTGTTTGTAAATTGTATATAAAATTTATATATGAAATTCATATACAATATGAAATTTGTATATGAATTGTAAGTGTTATATGAACTTTGTATATGAATTTGTTATACGAAATTTGTATATGCATGTTGTAACATGAAAGTTGGTTTTGCATATTCAAAGAATTGATTGGTATATATGCATGTATTGTATGTGTTTTGTATATATCTTTGTTGTATATGATTTGTCTTACAAATTTGTATATGAAAGTTGTATTTGTATTTTTTAAGTGTGTATATGTGTATTTGTATGCATGCAAATACAAATTATATGTATATGTGTAATTGGTATATGTATATGTGTATTTGGTATCTATGCAAAAGTAGTATGCTATAATTGACAATGTGATTTGAAGTACAATGCCATTTAATGTCATATTATATTGTATGCATATATATTCACTTTGTGTTATAATATTTCAAGATCTTTTTGGATTGCTCGATCTTATGGCTGTTGTGATGGGTCATGGAGGTGACGTTGATGACGAGCCACCACATCCTTTTGGCGAAGGTTTTGGTGTTCACCAGATCGATGGTAATTAATATTTATTCTAATTCATTGTATTTCATATTGTATGTATATAAAAAATATTGTGAGTAATATTTTTTTAATGCAATTGTACCTCCCGACGAAGAGGCATGAAAGTAAACAAGAAAATGCATCGGTTATTCAAAGCAAACAACAGACGGCCTCTAAAAATAGTATTTGACATAAATACTTTTATACTGATAGGGGATGTATACAAATTCTTCATTTGAGAGGTTGCGAGTTATATCTGGCGCGACATAGCTTTGGAAAAGAACGTCTGGAATGAAGTTACAGAAACCGAAAGGAATGGCTTGTTTATGTATCTTTTGGTAAATTATTTATAAAGTTATATTTAACGTGTTTAATTTTGATTATTTTTAACTTCTCTATTTTCTTGTAGACATTTTTTGATTTTCAAACCATTTCAAATGATCCTGATGCTACAATTTTGTGGGCTTCATTGTATAATTGGATATGTTTACGGTACAGAGGTCGAAAAATTATCGCAAAAACTAAGTTTACTGATATGGACACAGATGTGGGACAACAAGGGATCGACTTCCCACAAGTATAGGTCCGGAGCGTTGGAGTGCTACTATTGACCACTTCTTAATAGATAGGCATAGTAAACGATCCAGTGTAAACAAAGAATGTCGGAAGAAGCAAGTAATTAAGAATTGTGGAGGGACGTGCAACTACGGTAGTGCTTGTTTCAAGAATGTAAGTTACAATAACTTTTATTCAATTATAACATATTTTGTAATCTTTATTCAAGTATAACATATATTTTAATGTTAAACAGAATTTGAATAGACTTGAAGCATTTCATCGTGGGCATGTCAATAAACAAGGGGACTTCGCTAACCCGTTAGTCGAAGAACAATATGAAAGTTTTTATTGCTTGAAAATGAAGTATAATGTTGTTTTTTAAGTATATTGACAGTATTTGTGAAATACATAATGTTTTAGTTGTTGAGGTTGCTTTACAAACTCAACACATAGCCGACTCTGGTGGGATCCAAACTTCATTGATTGGATTGTTGTTTTTCAGAAGGTGTTAGGTGCTCGAAGAGGACATGTGAGAGGCATCGGGCCTAAGCCTTCCGCAGCGGGTACAAGTGCTTCCTTCCAGTGGCAGTCACAATCACAAGCACCGCAACCAATACATGTACTTATTAAACTCTTAAAGAATGTGGTAGCTTAGTACTTTGCTATATTGTGAAGAACTTGATGCATTTATAGTAAACTAGAAAATTCTCCTTTTCTAAATGACAAAGTTTGAGCTACTCAGTATGCAAATTCAGTAGAAGATTTTGAAGCTTAATGTCATGAAGGCAAAAACAAATTGCATAAATCTATGCCAGTGGTTTGAAAATCGAGAACACGAACCATATATAATATATTATATCGTTTTTTAGAAAGAAAATAAAGGATTTATAATATACATGATATAGTTTGGTTTCCCTACTCATGCCAAGAAAAGTCAGATACATTAAGAGTGACATAAGTCTAATTGCATCTTTATTAACCCCTATAAATCCTTCCATAGATGGATTTTTTTCCACTATAATTTACAGACAAAACCTCAATAATTCACCATAATAACTCAACTAATTGAAAAGCAATTCTCGAAATCAAAACCATATTGGTTCTGAAAATCGATACTTCGTAACCCAACTAATTGAAAAGCAATTACAAAATCAAACCCATATTGATTCAAAAGATTGATTTAAGTTTGAATAATAAGAAATAGGCAAAATGATACCGACATAGATACAGACAAAAAGAAGTAGATAGCAACAGGATGGGAATGAGAGGGAGTAGAATACCTGAAAGCAAACTAAATCTTCAATGTGAAGATGTCGGATGTTGACGTATGTGTGTATGTGTTTTACCTCCCATTTAAGTCAATTTGTAGGATGAATAAAAGACAATGGTAGATATGACATGAGGTGGTGGAAGCCAATGGTTCATGTCTACTGGTTCGGTAGAGAAAGCTGTAATTAAAAGTCGAAATGAATTAAGTAAAAGTAGAAATAGGAGGATAATAAAGAATGTATCAATAGACACAGTCAATGGAGGTGGAGGTTCCTATTGGAAGGGAAGGCAACAATAAGGTGTTGTTTGATTTTCTGAAGCAAAAATTCAAGAAGTCTGCGGACCACCTCTGCAACCCTCTGCAGTAGAAGAGATGGACCAAACGGTTGTAGATTATAATAAGAAGCGGGTTTGTTTTTTTAACATCTGCATACTGCTACAGATATTAAAAAATTAAAATAAACTAATTTTATAAACCAAAAATAGCTTTTTAATACGTAAACTTTAATAATATATAACATTTCGGTAAAAATTAATGATATTCAGTAAAAAAGAATGATATTTCAACAAAAAATAAAGATATTTTAGTAAAAAATAATGATATTTTATCAAGAAAATATCATTATTGAATATAAAAAAATGAAAAATAACTTCAATAAGAATAAACGAAAAAAAACGAAAAAAAATGTGAAATAAAACTTTAATAACATATAATCAAAATTTCAGCAATAAAAAAGAAGAATAAGAGGTTGGAAGAGGTTGGAAGAGGCAGTACAAGTGTTGCGCCAAACAGAGCACGCGCAGAGGTTTTTGACTCAGAAGACTTCTAAAAAACAAACAGCTGCGAGATAAAAAAGTGTTGCGCGTGTGCTACGCCGCGCAACAATAAGAGGTTTTTTCAAAAAAAACAAACAACACCTAAATGTTATTAGAAAAGAAGGACGACAATGAGGATATGTGCAGACCAAATTTAGGAAACCATGTGGCCAATGTGTAAACCACTTAAAGAAGAGGGTATTGAACCGTGCAAACCGAAAATTAGTATGACAAATTTATAGGGGTGGAACCAGAAATTTTCTTTAGGGGTAGCACAATTTTTTTCCTATTCTATTGTTTCTGTGAAAATGTCTACAATGCGACTTGAATAAAAGTGAGCAAATCGTTTTAAATGGTATAAAAAAAGTTTGACATGTAAAATTTCCTAAAAACCAAAAAGTAAATGCTTTTGCAACAAACAAAATGAGCTAATTAACCATGCTAAAAAGTAAATGTGTTGGCTGCAAATAAAGTGAGCTAATTAACCATCAGTACCCAAAACTCGTCTAAAGATTTTACCAGTCAAAAGAAAATTTGATTTGTCTATAAACCCGGCTTCATAATCTTATTCATAATACAATTAAGCTAAAAAGTTTCCAACTATCAAACTTAATTTACACCTAAAATAAACTTTCTAAAGTTAAACTAGTATATGCTCTGACCATCTATGAGATAAGTTTTTCAATCTTGTAACAAGACTACCACCTGGACAAAGGAATGCTAACCTTTAAAAAGAAACCGCAAAGATTGTTGTTTTGGATCATTATGCTTGTAATATAAACAAGTCTTGTTCTTTACTGGATTAGACATACACTTTTTACTGTCACAAACATAAGACTATAAACTTACACCCTCTACCTTTAAGACATTTCAGCGAACAGTTAATATGCACAGACTTGTTCAAGAAAGTCAACTTGTGCATATGAACTTAAATTCGGGAGTTTGAAATCAAATGACTAAGAAATTGTGAAAAGGATTACAATACCTTTTAGATATATAGTTCAAATTGTTTTAGAAACTCCAACTCCAAGAATGATGACTCGTCGAATTTCTTCTACTGTTAAAATTGATTGATCTAATACGAGAATCGATTCAATGACACGCCTGAAAGATGAAACACGATTCATTTTATTGAAATTATTGAAATCAATTGTCAATCTATTTTAAATAGTTGATTATGTTGCATTTTGTTGAATCTGGGGATTTTGAATGATTCAAGGAGCCAATAAAAAGGCAAAACAAGAAAGGGATGGAATGAAAACAGGGGTTAGCGGGAATAAAAAAGAAGTGTTTAGAGGGAACGATATTTCATCAAGAATACATGTTTCCTTTCTAGCCACCAACCAAACATCCAATTTTTCATTCCTTTTTAATACGGTAGTCCTTTCCTGATTCTATTACCACATACCAAACAGGGATAAGGATTTCTGTGACTTCTTGAGTTACACAATTCATTTGAGGAGTAGCACCTTGGCACACACCCGATTCATCTGCCTTCTCTTATCTTCTTCTCCAGAATCTTTGAGGGATAGCACGAGCTACCCCTGCCAACTAACTAGTTTCGCCCCTACAAATTTATGAAAAGAAGTAAGTATATTGTTCCCTAAACCCTTTTTTGAATTAATAATATATATTAATTGTGGTAGTTTGATATTTTGCTTATTTGTTAAGTGCTTAATTCATTTGTTATGAATTTGGTAGTTTGATAGTTTGTTAATTTGTTGAAGACTTAATTGATTTGGTAGTTTGATAGTTTGTTAAGTTGTTAAGGACTTAATTGATTTGGTGGTTTGATAGTTGGTTTAATTCTTAAGGGCTAAATGTGCGTGTGACTTAATTGTTAAGGACTTAATGCATTTTTAAAGTAAATTTTGGTATTTTGGTATTTTGCTTATTTGTTAAGTGCTTCATTCATTTGTTATGAATTTGGTAGCTGTAAGTTTGTTAAATTGTTAATGATTTAATTGATTTGGTAGTTTGAAAGTTTGTTAAATTGTTTAGAACTTAATTGAGTTGGTAGTTTAATAGTTTGTTAAATTGTTAATGACCTAATGTGCTTGTGACTTTAGTCTTTAGTAATAATAATTTGTTTTTTTAGTTTGATATATTTTAATTTATATTCTTACTTTATAGGATGTGGATGTTAACGCTTTCACCAAAACTCATCGTTTGTGATGACTGTTAGAGATATTATTCGCTCATTTAGCAAGCAATTCGACAACACAAGCTACCACGAGGAAATGACGATGGAGAAGACGATTAGTATTTCTTGATTTATGTTCTGGGTGATGTTATTATGGATTTATTAGAATATGAATTTAATCGACTACTATTCATGTTTATTAGATTCTTTATGTAATGTGATATACTTTGTGTATGTTATTTGATGTTTTATGTAATGCAAATTTCTAGATTATAATTTTTGTAATTTTATAAATTTTGCATTTTATAATATAAACTAGCATAAAATATAAATTTTATGGAAAAAAATGCATTAGTGACGACATTATTTGGGATGACGCCTTTTGCGACAACAGGTACCTCGGGAAACTTTGCCGAAAAAACACCGGCCAGTGGCCAGAATATTATTAAGGACGACACCTTTTGCGACGCTGATGAGTATTAGTGACAACACCAATAACGATGCGTTTTAAGTATTAGCTATAAGGTAATTGTGACAACCTATTGTGACGACATGTCGTCGCTTTAGCAATGACTTTTTTGAGTGTTTGCAACTTTTTTGTCGTTGATGGTGCCTTTTCATGTTATATATGATGCATGCTTGGATCACATACAATCACAAACTAGAACACAATAAATTGGATGGGGACCCTTTGCAGGAAAACCACAAAGGTACTAGTGTGTGTGTATATATATATATATATATATATATATATATATATATATATATATATATATATATATATATATATATATATATATATATATATATATATATATATATATATATATATAGACACAAGTAGGTCATGCGAAAACATAAATATCTTGCGAAAACACGAAACCATATTTTATCTTATAAAAAATCAAACACAAATACTATAAAAATTAAATTTATTAGCAATAAATTAAAGATAATAAGTTGACATTGAATTGTGTTTTGATAATATAGATTTAAAAACGGTTTTAACAACTATTTTTTTTTTCCACATCCTTAACCACTGTTAAATTCATGTTTTCATAATAAAAATACCAAAAATCATGTTTTGCTAATATGAAACAATTTCTCATGTATCATCGATTATCATCATGTAGTTCAAAGTTTGAATGGATTATTGTCCAAAATATAAGGTTGAGGTGGCACAATCTCATAGTTTTCTCTTGTTTTCGTGTTTTCCCAAATTATATATATATATATATATATATATATATATATATATATATATATATGTCATTTTTTGTCATTTAACTTTTGTTTTGTGCTCATTTGATCATTTAACTCATTTTAAGTTTAAAAAAGTTACCTAATTTTTGGTTCGGTCACTTAACTTTTGGATATATGTTCATTTAGTCATCTAATTTTTAAAATTATGATTATTTAGTCACCTA